GTCTCAGGGTCATGGGATCAACCCCCATGTTGGGCTCTGTGCTCAGCATGGAGTCTGCTTCTCCCACTCCCTCTGCTCCTCCCCACACTTGCGTGCTCTCTCTCTCTCAAATAAATAAATAAATAAAATCTTTAAAAAAAAAAAAAAGAAAATCTATTTCTGCCTTATTTCAGAAAATTGGTGTAAAAAATTTAACAGCTATGCTATCTAAGTTTTTTCTAGACTGTAAGACTAGCTTAGCATTAGAACTTCAGCATTCTCAAAGTTTCCTTTTTAAAAGATCATCATAGATCACCCATTTTTAAAGTATTTAATTCTAGGTCAGCAATAACATTTGTGCCCTTTTTCTGTTTCAAATTTATATTCCTTAGCTTATGTGAAAGTTATTGGAAAATACTCGGTTCATTTCAGTTCTATTGAGCACTTCAGATATCATTCAGTATTTGCTTTTTTTTTAACTCAAAATTCAGTATTTTAGAAAAAATATTTGCTGTAAATTTTGGGTGAAAACATATAATACTCAAGAGCAATCAAGTGGATTTTAATGTGCCAGGATTCTCTTCAGGAATATAGAAATATTCTGAAATACTGCTTTGTTGTGAATCACAATTTAGCACCTGTACTTACGCAGGTAGATAGGAGTCTGCAAAACAAATAATGTCAGATTGAAAGTAGTACCAGTATATTCAATGAATATATGGATTTGTGTTTATAGATTAAAAAAAAATTTAAATATTCAGGGAATATATTATAAAAATGTCAACCATTATTACTGTTATAAACTTTGCCAATACTAACCCTCTCTGCCACATTCACTTTTTTTTTTTAAGATTTTATTTATTTGAGAGAGAGAGAGCGAGCGAGCATGAGAAGGGGGAGGGGCAGAGGGAGAGTGAGAAGCAGGCTCCCGCTAACAAGGAGCCCGATGCGGGGCTCAATCCCAGGACCCCAAGATCATGACCTGAGCTGCAGGCAGACGCTTAACCGACTGAGCCATGCAGGCGCCCCTCACTTACTTTTTTTTGTAGTTAAAACTAGTGGTTGGATTATTTTTGTTTTTCTATTTTTAAATTAGTTTAATGGTTAAGGAACACAACTAGTTAAAACTACTTATTTGGCAACTTTGTGCTATGGCTGGGTGGTGGACATTGGGGAGGGTATGTGCTATGGTGAGCGCTGTGTATTGTGTAAGACTGATGAATCACAGACATGTACCCCTGAAACAAATACTACATTATATGTTAATAATTTTTAAAAAATTAAAAAAGCATAGCTGAGAATCAGAAAGAAAGCAAAATAATAAGAAATATATGAAAGAGTAGACAAGTCTTTCAGTTGCAAATAACTAAACTATGCTCTAAAAACCTCATGCACGTTAGATGGAAGGCAGCCTGTAAGTCCCCACTCCAAATCTCTTTACACTCACTCACAGAAACATGTCTTTCTCCCCTCTTTAATAAAAATACCATTTGCACATGGTGGTAAATCTAAATAGTACAAAAGAATGTTTAGTGATAAATTCACTTTGAGACGGTTTTAACAAACACATTTCCCTGTTTACTCCAGAGCAGATAACAAATTAACAGGTGGACAAACACTTCGATAATAGCAAACAGGGTGCACAGAAGAAACAGGAAGTAAAAAGTATAGACATGTAGGTTTACTCAGAATAGAGGCTTGTAGCTCTCCTATAACCCAGGCCTTCACAATTTTATGTGGTATAATAATTGATACCAGAGTAATGACTTCCACATATTTAAGAAAAGAGTAAATAATTTTTATTCGGCTCTGTTTTGGATGGCAGGAATGCATGAAATGCATTTTTAAAAAGATTGCCATCCAAAATTATAAATATATAAAAATATGATTCTTAATAGTAGAATTAAATTTCAAATATCTGGAAACTTCATTTGTGTGAAATATCTCATTTACCAAGAACTCCAGATAAATTCTTACTAAAGTAGCTTAAAGTTCAGACTCAGACTCTAATCTGACCATAACCAAAAAACTTAATTCATGCATTTTTCCCAAAATAATGAATTTTGTCCCTGATGCCTTTTTAATTTATTAGACAGATTCTATCTTTGACTTAAAAGGACAGTCTAATTTATAGGCCTAAGAAGACAAATATCAGCCAAGAACACTTTTTGCCTCTCAGTCATAATTATCTATCAAACACTAGCCATTAAGGAATTTTTGGCAATATAGGGATTGTGTCCAGTACATATTCATTTATTTGTGAAGTATTCATTGAGTTCATTTGCTCGTGGCAATATAGTGACGAACAAGATAAACATTTTCTGCCCTTGTGTAATTTATTTCATGGGTAGATACAAGCAAGTATATTGATCATTATAATACAGACATGGTAGCTAAAACTAGCTCACTTTAACAGGTCCCACAGCTCAGCTCAAATATTTTTTGGCCTTTTTTTTTTCATTCCTTTCTTACTCATTTTCTTTGACAATATCAGCGAAAGAGCTAAAATTCTAAAAATAGCTCTTCCAAATTTAATCTGTTCTTCTTAGACTCTACTCACTCTCCCCTGATGACTGATTTTACCTCTATTTTAATGAAAGATTTAGACCAATCTGAAAGTGCTATCACCTTTTATCTTCTCAAAATGTCTTTCTTTTCATCCATCCTACCTTTGGGATCACATTGACATTACTCTTTTCCACAACTTCTATTTAAGTTCTTGATCCCAACTTTTATTATATTCTTTGCAATTTTGCTGAATAAGGTATCTTTTTCACACATAGAATCCATGCCTTGAATATTCAGTTCCTCAGTTCTAACTTCTTTTTTTTTTTTTTTTTTAAGGTTTTATTTATTTGACAGAGAGAGACACAGCGAGAGAGGGAACACAAGCAGGGGGAGAGGAAGAAGCAGGCTTCC